TTGAGTGGCACGACCCTGAGATCGGGATCAGCGGGCAGCTGACATGGACTAGACTCCCTCAAGGGTTCAAAAATTCTCCAACCATATTTGATGAGGCTCTTCATGAAGATCTGGGTGAGTATCGCACCCAAAATCCAGACATCAGCTTGTTACAATATGTAGATGACTTGTTGATTGCTGCAGTCGATAGAGCAGCCTGCCTTAAAGGGACTGAGAACTTGCTGCTGACCCTAGGACACCTAGGGTACCGAGCCTCGGCCAAAAAGGCCCAAATTTGTAAGAGGCAGGTCGGGTATCTGGGGTATGTCCTTAAGGAGGGTAAAAGGTGGCTGTCGGATGCCAGGAAGGAAACGGTCTTGAAAATACTCGCTCCTACAACACCAAGGCAGGTGAGAGAGTTTCTGGGGACAGCGGGATTCTGCCGCCTCTGGATTCCCAGATTCGCTGAAGTGGCTAAGCCCCTATATGAGGTCACTAGAAACACAACAGATTTTGTCTGGACAGAGAGGGAACAACGAGCATTTGAGGAACTGAAACGGAAACTGCTGGAGGCCCCAGCACTTGGCCTACCAGACATCAACAAACCCTTCCACCTTTATGTGGATGAGAGTAGGGGCATTGCCAAAGGGGTCCTCACCCAGACCTTGGGACCCTGGAAAAGACCGGTGGCATATCTGTCAAAAAGGTTGGACCCAGTGGCTGCGGGGTGGCCTCCATGCCTAAGAATAATTGCGGCCGTAGCTCTGCCAGTTAAAGATGCAGACAAACTGACTCTTGGTCAGAGACTGACTATTGCAACCCCGCATGCCCTGGAGGGAATCCTTAAACAGCCCCCAGATCGATGGATCAGTAATGCAAGGCTCACTCACTACCAGGCCCTCCTTCTTAACCTAGCCAGATTGACTTATCAAGTCCCAACAGCTCTGAACCCAGCCACCCTACTGCCTGATCCCGACCTGGAGGCTCCACTTCACGACTGTGCTGGGATCCTGGCTCAGGCACACTGCATACGCCTAGATCTGCGAGATGTTCCACTACCAGATGCAGAGGAAAACTGGTTCACGGATGGGAGCAGCTACATGCGTGATGGACAAAGGTATGCGGGGGCAGCAGTGACTACCAGTGAAACCGTCGTGTGGGCCACTGCATTTGCTGCCAGGGACTTCAGCACAAAAGGCCGAATTAATAGCCTTAACAAACGCCCTCCAACTCGGGAAGGACAAGAAGCTGAACATTTACACTGATAGCAGGTATGCATTTGCCACTGCACATATCCATGGGGCTATATACTTGGAGAGGGGGCTGTTAACTGCAGAGGGAAAGACTATTAAAAATAAACAAGAAATCCTAGAGCTACTAAAGGCCCTCTGGGCCCCCAAGAAACTAGCAATCATGCACTGCCCAGGGCACCAGAAAGGAGAAGGGCCGATTCAACAAGGAAACAATTTGGCGTCTGCGTAGGGACAGTGCCAACCAAGTACCAGGCCCATTGTAATAATACCCGACCCCTCCCTGACCAGGACGTTTACCTGCAGCCTCCTGATAATACTTGGTGGGCATGTTCCACGGGACTAACTCCCTGTGCACATGTTCTGGTCCTCAATAGAACTAAGGGCTTTTGTATAATGATCCGGCTTCTGCCACGGTTGATATACTATTCTGAGGAAGAGCTAGAAAGTCTTGCCAGACCAGTAAGCCTCCGCAGGTCAAAAAGAGAGCCCTTAACCGCCCTCACATTAAGCATACTGTTAGGGACCAGTATTGCTGGGCTAGGAACAGGGGCTGCCGCCTTGGTCCAACAACAACACTACTCTAGTTTACGTGAGTCTATAGACAAGGACATAGAAAAACTAGAATTTCAGATAACTCACCTCCAAGAGTCCCTGACCTCCCTAGCGGAAGTCGTCTTACAAAATAGGAGAGGACTAGACTTAATATTCTTAAAAGAAAAAGGACTATGTGCTGCTTTAGGTGAAGAATGTTGCTTCTATATAGACCACTCGGGAGTAATAAAGGACTCAGTAGCCAAGGTCCGAGAGGGTATAGCCCAACGAAAGAGGGAACGAGAGGCCAACCAGGGATGGTTTGAGGCCTGGTAT